GCGAGCTGGTGGAGATCCAGACCAAGCCTGTCCTCAACATTCACTCGTCTCCCGGCCCAGGCAGGAAAGGGAAGGACAGAGGCCGCGCTTCCCTTTACGTCCAGAGGGAAATTGAGCAGGAAACGAAGCGTGAGGAAGATCTGAAGAGGCAGGGGAGGCTGCTGGGGGCGTATGACAGGGGCACGCAGCAGGAGCTGGAGGAGCGCAGGAGGGTGTTCGAGCAGGAGGAAGCCCCCCCAGAGAAGCCCACTCCCCTGAAGCGGGCAGAGCAGAGGAGGAGCTGGCTTAAAGAGTTTGTGGTGGAGCAGCCCAGCCCTGCAGAAGACACCAAGGCTGGGAGAAGCACCCCCAGCTACACGGCGAGCATCGCCCACTTCCAGCTGTCCCAGCCGCGCTTCGCCGCCAGCGAGAGGAGCCGGGAGCTGCCCTCGGTGTCCCCGCACGCTTCCGCCGGCGCCAGCAAATGGGGGAGCGAGGATTCCCGGGGAGGAAAACTTCCCAGCTCCACCCCAAGCCCCACCAGCGCTGCTGTCCTGCCCAGAGAGTACTTGAACCTCTCCTTCTGGAAGCCCAAGGTGTCCTTCGTGGAGGACATGGGGACGCAGAGGAGGGAGGACGGCCGGGAGGAGCAGTACCGGCTGCGCACGGGGAAGCCGCAGACGTCTGCGCTGATCGAGGAGGAGATCAGGAGTGACCTGCAGAGGGAAGAGGAGCTGCAGGAGCAGCGCAGGAGGCTGATGGACACCTACAGCAGTGCTGCTCCTCAGGAGGGCTCCCGCTCTCGGCACAGCTCTGGTAAGGGAGTACAGCGATGGAGAAATGATTTGGTGGGATGGCTGTAAGGATTCCTGTGTGCTTGATACCAGCACACTGGAGTCAGCAGAACTGCTGCTGAGGAGGGATAGGCTCTGCAGGGTTCCAGATGCTCAGGTCTTGATGAGTTTGTGTCACGTTACAGCAGCAAACAGGGCTGGAAGAGCTCCTGCACTCCGCACAGCTCTGGTAAGGGAGTACAGAGACAGAGAAATGATTTGGTGGGATGGTTTTAAGGATTCCTCTGTGCTGGTAGCAGAACTTGATACCAGCACACTGGAGTCAGCAGAACTGCTGCTGAGGAGGGATAGGCTCTGCAGGATTCCAGATGCTCAGGTCTCGATGAGTTTGTGTCACGTTACAGCAGCAAACAGGGCTGGAAGGGCCCAGCTAATGCATTTTACCCCTTGTTCCTGCAGTCCCTGACTGGGCCCCAGGCATGGTGTCCAGGCTATGACCAAACCTGCTGGACCTGCTCTGGGGGCAGGTTTGGGGCAGGGGCCTGACACTCCTGTGGGTCTCCACCCCCTGAGAGTGGAACTGAGGTCACCCTCCCAATGCTCTTTCTCTCACAGCTGCCTCAGGTGCCAGTGGCAACTACTCAGTGTCCGAGTCTTCTGCCTCCTCTCCCGTCTCACACCAGACGGGGATCCTGGGGCTGATCTCATCCTTCACCCCGCTGAGAGTGACCAGTTCCTCCCAGGGCAGTGCAGAGACCCTCACCCCTGACTCGTCGCGTTCCAGCCCCTTCGAGGAGCGGAGGAGGAGGGTGAAGGAGGATGGAAAGGTGACCATGCCAAGTGTTTGGGGGGCTTGAGCTCAGGGGAGACTGGTGGCTCTGGGGCTGGAGGTGGCTGCTCCTGACTCCCACCTGGAGTGGAGGTCCAGCTGCTCAGCTCTGGTGGTGGTGGTGGCACCATCCAGGGGCCGTGTGAGCCCCCAAGGCAGTGCCTGCTGTTAGAGCTGCCAGCACTGGGTGGGACTGGAGAGGAGCAGCATTTCCTCCTGTGGGGGATCCTGCTCTGGGCTCTTTCCTCAACCCCAGGGAGGGCTTGGCTGCATGTGCTGCCTTCCCTTGCCTCTCCTGTGCCCCTGCTGGGAGCCAGATCCAGCAGCTTCTGGATATTCCCCTGCCAGGCTGCCACTATCTAATCGTGTTTTCCTCTTCCCACAGTACGCAGGCATTGAACCCATTGACAAGGTCAACACAGAGGTAAAGCCCTGACACCTCCCACCTTCTCCAGCTCCCCTCACTCACTCCTGGAGCCTTTGTGGGATAGGAAGGGGTGGACAGGATGGTTCTGGCTCCCACAGGGACCACCTGGGTGGACACTGGGTCAGGCAGAGCAGGTTGGACAGGATGGTTCTGGCTCCCATTGGGGACCACTCGGGTGGGCACTGGGTCAGGCAGAGCGGGCTGGGGAGCTCCCCTCACTCCTGGAGGCTTTGTGGGATGGACAGGGGGGACAGGATGGTCCTGGCTCCCACGGGCACCACTCAGGAGCAGGCTGGGGAGCTGGCAGGGGGAGGAGGGGCAGCTCTGCAAACCAGATCGTTGTGAGAGTCTCTTCTTTATAAAGATCCTGCCCGTTCTGGTCTCTGCAGGTGGTGGAAAGCACCCGAGTGTTTCGCCACAAGAGCGTCATGGCCCAGCGCTGGGAGGCGGGGCAGTACGTGCGGGATGAGGACTGAGGGACCCCGCGATGGGGGCTGGCCCTGCTCACAACCGGCTGATGCATGACCTAAATACTCGATCAGTTCCACCCATCGCAACAATCAGAGACGTGAACCCTGCTAATCAATCTGGTTTATTGTTAAACTGATAATCTCTCCATAAAGTAGATCAGCTCCTTCCTCCTCCTCCTCCTCCTCCTCCCTGCGGGGTGGAGGAACACTTTTATTTTTTTTCTTAAGAGGGAAAAAATTGGATCAGTATCTTTTTAATCACTTCCGCCTGGAGCCAGCCAGGTGAAATCACCCGATAATTCACTTTGCCCCTCGGGAGCTGTCTCAGGCTTACAAAAAAGCTGTTTTATTTCTCAGTGGTTTTAGGTTTTAAAGTACTGCAAGGCTGAGCGTTGCCTTGGGGGTACCTGAACTGAGGCCTCTGGATCAGTGTTGCCGTGGGACTTGGGAATCAACATTGGTTTAACTCCTGTGATCCATGGAGATGCAGCAATGGAATATAAAAATATATATAAATGCTGTTTATTTTGCTAATTTATTAAAGAGTTGTTACACTCCCTCGGTCTTCCAGGCCTGTCCTGTCCGCCTGCTCCACTGGTTTTGCTCCGGTGTTTCAGAGGAGCCCCGGGATGGGATTTGGGGGTTGGGATGCGGGGCTGGGGGAGCACCGGGGTCCCACCGGGCGGGGCTCGGAGCACCCGGGGCCGGTGGGAGGAATCCCTGCACGGGGCAGGGGTGGCACCGCCGGGTGGGCTTCAAAGTCCCGTTGGACCCCAACCTCCCTGCGGCCCGTGCCCGTCTGGCCGCCCCCGCTAGAGGGCTCCCGGGCAGCGCCCGCGGCTCCGGTACGGACCCGCCGGGACCCCGGTACCGACCGCCCCTGCAAGCACTGACCGGGGTCCGGTACGGAGCCGCCGGGACCCCGGTACCGACCGCCCCTGCAAGCACTGACCGGGGTCAGGTACGGAGCCGCCGGGACCCCGGTACCGACCGCCTCGGCAAGCACTGACCGGGGTCCGGTACGGATCTGCCGTGACCATGGTACTGACCCGCTCTGCAAGCACTGACCGGGGTCCGGTACGGACCCGCCGGGACCCCGGTACCGACCGCCTCGGCAAGCACTGACCGGGGTCCGGTACGGAGCCACTGACACCCTGAAACGGACCCATCGGGACCCCGGTACCGACCGCCCCTGCAAGCACTGACCGGGGTCCGGTACGGACCCGCCGGGACCCTGGTACTGACCCGCTCTGCAAGCACTGACCGGGGTCCGGTACAGAGCCACTGAGACCCTGAAACGGACCCACCGGGACCCTGGTACTGACCCGCTCTGCAAGCACTGGCTGGGGTACGGTACAGATCTGCCGAGAGCCCGGTACAGATCCACTGAGACCCCGAAATGGTCCCGCCTGGACCCCGGTACCGATCCCCTCCACAAGAGCTGACCGGGGTCCAGTACGGATCCACTGGGAGCCCAGTACAGACCCACTGGGACCCCGGTACCGACTCCCTCCACAAACGCTGACCAGGGTCCGGGACAGATCCACTGAGACCCCAAAATGGACCCACTGGAACCCCAGTACCGACCCCACTCTGCTCCCGGGGGGGTCGTTCTTCCCGTCAGTGGCCGCTCGTTCACGAGCCTTGGGCGTGGGCTGAACCGACCAGAAATGGGGAGGAGAGAGCCCAAAGTGGGGTGGTCTGGGGCTCTGGGGGCTGAGGGAAGCGGGGAGCAGAGGTGTGACCGTAGCTGGGTCACCACAGGACCCTCGGGACAGATCTCAGTCTGGTGTCATGGTGATGCCACCAGTGCTCCAAAGCAAAGAAGAGCTGGCATGCATCCTCCAGCACCCGAGGAGTTTGTCTGGTTTTATGTCTCTTCAAAGGTCCTGAAGTTACTTCTTGATGTTCAATTGGTTGGATGGGACCAACTGGGGCAAAGAGCTTGACCCCCAAGGCTTTGTTTGACACCATGGGAACGGCTCCTAGGGCTTCAAAGGGCCCAAAGCTCTGTGCCTCTGGGCTGGGAGCAGGGGAGACTGAGCACAACAGGGAACACAGCAGTGCTCCAGGAAAGCATCACCTGCTGTTCAGACACAGACAGATAGGACTGAATTAAAGGTTCTTTTATTTGGCTCTGCCATGCCAACAATGCAACCAAAAACCTGACTGAGCTGTAACAGGGCTGAGCACACCTCCCAGTGCCTTTGTGGAGTTGTGTTGTGCATTCCAGGGAAACCACTTACCATAAAACCTTTCAACATTGTCAGATACTTTAAATAACTTCTTAAAACAGCCACAACTTCTTCAATCTACAAATCTTTCCCTAAGGGAAATGACCTGAACCTTGTCAGAAATGTTCCTGCAAGGTTGGGATTGGCGGCATCATCGCGCTCCTGTTGCTCATCCTTTCCCACAGGGTGAGCTCTTAGGGTGTCAGCCTCAAAATGTGGGTGCAGCTGACACTCCTGGCCAGGCTCTGCCACCCCCAAGCCCTCTCTGTGTCAGCAGTGGTGGTTTCTAACAGCATTGACTGTGTGGTAGAACATTAACTCGTTTGGCAAATGTGAAACTGAGGACTCTCATTAACTCACTGAATTATCAATTCCAGTAACAGAAACAACAACAAAGGAACTTCCCTGAAAGCCAAGGCACTGCAGATCTGTAGGTACCTTCAGTGCCAAGGTGAAGCTCAGCAGAAGGTTGTCTGTTCTCAACCTACACCAAATATTGCAGTAGGATTGTGTTTCAGAGCAGCCTTGGGGTGGTTGAAGGGGCAAAGCTGAAGGGACACCCCTATTTCTTGGTCTTCCTTACTGCTCCTCTGACATCCTGCGTAATAACTTTCAAGATTTTATCAATTTTGGCTTTTGACAGTGCCTTCCTGATGTACCACACTTTGTCCCAGACAGAGTACAGTGACTTGGGAGACAGGTAAAGAGGGTGGTTGTCCTCCAGCATGTCTGCTGGCCTCCTCCTGGCATACTCCTTGTAACTGGAGACCGGGCAGTTCTCTGGATCCTCAGGCTTGGCAAAGAGCCGTGGGTTTAGCTCCCCTTCATTTCCCTCAGGGCTCAGATCATCCTTCCACTCCAAGTACTCCACCTCTCCTTTGGTCTTCCTCAGCACCACCTGTCCCCAGTACAGCTGGTGGGCCTGGTGGTGGGTGTTTGCCCCAAACCCCCTAATGAGGTTGGTGAATACAAGGCGCAACAAGCCCTGAGGGTTTGTCTTGCTTAAAATTCCCTTCTCAAGAAGATTTGCCACATCTTCACCTGTCAGGTTCTCCACAACATTCCACTCTTCCTTCTTCTTTTGAAACAGATAATGATGTTTTAATTTATAGGCTTCCTGAGAGGCCTTGAACTCTGGCCCTCTCAATATGCTGTACTGGTAGTTGTGCTGCTGGAGGTACCTGTTGATGTTGCACCGGAAGGTGTTTAAGGAATTGGCAGAAAAGTCCATGCCATTCTGTTTTTTGGTAGATGTGAAGAAGGAGAGCAGGTAGTGGTCGAGGTCTGCAGGAGGCAGCCTGTGGATCTTGCGTGTCTCGGAGGGGTGGTGCCCCCTCAGCCACTCTTCAAACACTTTTATGTCTGCAGTGCTATTGCTTTTCTTTTTCTTCTGCTTGTTCAGCACATCTAAAGGACAAGACATAGTTTTGTGGACAGGAAGAATCCACAAAGATCAGTAAAACACAAGGAGATACAGGATAGTGCCTATCTGCTTTCTGGAAGCCATTCTGAGAGGACAGGACTCTCCCAAACCCCTTCCCCTAGAACTCTGGGTCATATTTGTGTTCTCCACAAGACAGCACAACCCAACAGTGCCCAGCTCTCCAGGGGAAGTTGGGTCTCTCTCCCTTGGCAGCTGGCCCTGCTCACTGCCATACAGGGAAATTTCCCTTTCACCATGAAATAAAAGCATGAACCAAAGGTTGGGGTGGATGGTGAGGGAGAACAAACAGGTGAGTAAAAGTCTACTATGATTTTGTTTAAAGGATTGCCAGGATTCCAGTTGGGCTCTCTCTCAAGTTGCCATGGCAATCCCACATCCACCCAGTTCGATGTAGCATGAGAAATGAATTCTTTGGATTGCTGGAAAGCTCCATCTGCTCGCCTGTGACTCGTCCAGGGCTGAGGATGGGGTGATGGAAAAGGGCTCATGAGCCAACACCTAGAACCCTTTTTGCACCAGGTTCTTTCTTACAGGCTTAGCTGTCATCCTGAAAGACTGATGGCTGTCCCACTTTTTTGGGGTTTTGGCCTGTTTTGTACTGGCTGCTCCAGGTGCAGAGAGGAACAGCTCATGAATCAATAATGCTGAGGCCTCCTCTGAGCCATGAGCCAGTCACCTTGGCAGAAACAGCTACTACAGACATTCCCAGAAGAATTCCCAGTCCCTTCACATGACACATGATGTCAGTTATGAAAATAGTAAAATACTGCTCCCAAACCCCAACTGTGGCAGTTTGTGTGGTTATGGCTCCACAAGGAACAACAACCCCTAAGCCTTTTCAGGACCAGCCCTGGTGCTGTAAGCACATCCCAGGCAGACCCCAAATGCTGCCTCAGCAACCTCTACCCTTCACAAGGACATGCCCAGGCCCCTGTGCTGCAGGACAGCACATACAAAAATCTTAATTCTTGAAAGTACTAAAGCAACGTGTGGAGTCCTGCATTTCCTGTGCAGGACTGACAACTCTGCTGCCACTGGCAGCATTGGGAAGTTTTGCCACTGGCCTTGGTGCAGCCAGAGCTTTGGCCACAATTTCTCTGCATTACTTCCTCTTGTTTCTTTCTCTTGAGACCTGAGTTCCCTGCTCCAGCTCCAGTTTCCCACAGGGACTCTCTCAAGTACAACCAACGTACTGTGTGGGGGTACTGGGTAAAGTGGAAGACCAAAGTATTCAAACTGGGATGTTGGGGCTGGGGCACAGCCAAGAACACCTTTGGGTACCCCCAGAGAAGGGCATTCCCTACAAAAACACCAATTCCTTTAGGCAGGGAGCTTTATAGTCCCCTCAAGCAGAAACAGGAGTGCCCCAAATCCAAGAGATTTCCTTGGATGCTGCAGTACAAATCTTGGCAGTGATGTGAACTCCTTGGATATTTTGGGAAAGTGATTAATGGAACACCCCCACACCCCTGCAGGCACAGAACTCCACGCTGCCTTACCTCCATTTGAGGCTGCAGGTGGATGTGTCTCTGGACTCTGGAAGGCTGAAGAACAAGGTGTCTGCTCAGATCCTGATGTCTCACTGTCCTCACCCACGTTCTCAGCACCATCCCCACTGGAGCCCATTCCCAGTGTGCCACACTCTGAAGGGCTCAGCTGGAGATGTTGCTGAACAGCAGCAGTGGCTTGGAGCTCAAAGAACATCACTGAGGGCGGTGATTCAGGCTGGGCTTCAGTGCTGGGGACAGGAAGGGGTTTGGGACATCCCTTTGGTGCTGCTGACCCTGGGAGGCTCCTTGCTCTGCAAGCATCAGCCACGGGCCCTGCAGCAGTGGTGGGAGCCAGCCTCAGGATGTTCCTGCTCAGATCCTCTGAGCTGCTGACAGGATCCTGCAGAATGTAGGCACGGGCTAGGGGTGGCTTTGCTGTAGGGGCAAAGGCAGTTTTTTGGGAGGCTGTTGGCTGGTGCAATGCCATCTCCTGGCAGTGGTGCATCTGCAACTTCTCAGCAGATGGCTCTGGCACATTGTCCTGGCTGATTCTGTCTCCTTTGCTGTCTTCATCTGCCTCACACTGCTCTTCATCAGAGATAACGATCTCTGTGTCTTTGTACCTTTTGGACTTCACATCCTGTTCACCAGTCTGGACTCTGCTACCAGACATGGAGAAGTGCTGCTCTGCTGCAGAGAATTTGGCTTTCCTGCTATTTTGACTCCCCTTGGGCTCATTATTCCTTGTGTAGGGGCTGTCAGCTTTCTGCTCAGCGACCCCCTGGGATCTGCCACACGACCCTGTGCTCCCAGAATCTTCTTGGTCCACCCCAAAAGAGGATGGGGTCAGCCTGAGCTTCTTTTCCTCAAAGCTGGATTCTCTTGCCAAAGACTCAGAAGACAGGAGCCTCCTTCTCCCTCCTACAGCCTCAGTCACTTCTTCACCTGTGCTGTGTGACTTCCCACAGTGCCAGTGGTAGGCATGTCCAGCTCTGCACATCCACAGCACAGCGTTGTCACTGCTCACATGATCTGTGTTCTGCATAAATTCCAGGCCTGGGATCTGGTTGCAGATGGTGCCATGAGTGTGTGCCCAGATCACAAGGTTGGAGAGATCTGCTTGCAGGGAACTGGTACTGCTGCACCCTCTGTCACTGGTGCTCTCACTCTGTAAAGGTGTTGGAGAGAACATGAGTGAGAGAGAAGCAGACAAGAGCAGTCCTTGGGGCTCTTTCTGTCCCTCCCCAGCAGTGCAATAATTCTAGACCAGCAATCACATCTCAGGACTCCTTTTAAAAATCAATTTGTTCTTTCTTTCTTGTCTGTGCTATCATTTATGCCATAACAGAACACTCACCATGCTGCTGCTTTCTGTCTCACTGAGCCTTCTCTCAGGTGGGGATCAGTAAGTGATGCTTTGAGTGGCCTTTCTCTCTCAGAACCTGAAAGGATCATCACATGTGTGTGCTATATACGTGGAGAAGTGTTTATGTATATATATAAAACCCTGACCAGAAAATACAACTGAATTTCTCCATGCTCAGCCCACTGCAGAGCTGTGCCCTCCCTGGGCTGAGCTCCCACTGCACTCCCAGGAACTCTACACACAAAACCTGCCTGGGGTAAATATTTGCAGGATCAGCCTCTGCAACATCAACGGAACAGAAACTAAATATAAACACTGAAAATAGAATTTTACAAACTGAACTCTGCAAGCCATTCCTTCAGCACTCTGGGGCTGGCAAGCTCTGTGTCTCTAAGTGCTGAACTGCAGAGAGAGGACAAGGAATAGTGAGGCTGCTTCAGCCTGACATCCTCTGACTCTGCAAACAGGAACAAGAGGCAGTTTCCCAACTGAAGGACTTGCACATGCAACTTGTGTTTATATTAGAGACTAAATCTGATTTAGTTTAAACTCTCCCATCTGTCTGGAAGGCTCCATGCAGCAGCCTGGAAGTCATTCCTGTGTCACAGGGGACATGTAGCACGCCCTCAGCACCACAGCAGCCCAGGAACCATCGCTGACACCACACCCTCACATCTCAGTCTATGGTTAATTAAAAGCTTTGCAATCAGTGATGGGAAAAGAGGCAAGGCTGAGAACACTGGAACCTTGTCAAAAGTGGTTCTTTGAGCAGTTCTGGCTACACAGAGCTCAGCTCTTGGGGAGAACAGGCCCTGACTGGTGGTGTGTGAGCACGTGCTGCTGAGAGCACACCTGAGCAACCTGAGGACACCTGAGCACACCTGAGCACACCTGAGCACACCTGAGCAGGCACAGGAGCTCCAGCCCTGGGGCTCCTGCTCTCCCAGAGAGCTGGGCAAGGTGGGAGAAGCCCATCCCAGCTGCAATCCATGAACTCAGTGCTTGTCCACAGGGCTGTATCTCAGGAGTCTGGCAGTCAGAGGGTGAGGGTGAAGGCTGCCTGAGGTGCAAATTGAGGGTGAAGCCAACAGCACAGGGGCAGGAATGGCTGTGAGTGCTGTGCCCATCCAGCACAGCCCAACACACTGGCTCTCCTGCCCAAAGGGAACAGCTCACACCTCTCACAGGTGCCAGCTGACCAGGAGCTGCTCCCTTCAGGGTGAGCCTGCAGCACAGCACACAGCTCCTTGCTGCACTTCCATCAATCCATATGTTCCTTCCTAATGATAGCACAGATAATTTTAGCCCAAATGCTTGGCTGATGCACGTGCCAGCATGTGGAATGTGCAAAGGCGGGATTGACTGAGAATTTTTTACTGAAATCTGCTGCTGCTTTAACAAAAAAAAATCAGATAATAAAAGCCTTTTTTGGAAGCAGCAAATGCAATTTGAGCTCCTGATGTTAATCAAGGCCTTGTATGGGATCTACTGTTCCTGTGAGCTCACTCCTGATGAACCTGGGCAAACAGGGCAGGGAGTCACCTCCAATGGCCATTTCAGCTGCCCTGACCCCTCAGAGGCTCTGCCCAAGCTTCTCCCCAGAGGTGTTTGACCTCCTCAGGCCAGGGCAGCTCACAGCCTGTTCCCACTGAGCCTTCCCTACAAGCTGAACTTGGGGCAGAACCATTTTCCCTCCTGAAGCAAAAGAGAGTTTCATCTTCGAGTTCAGTCTACTTGGGGAAGAACCGTTTTCCCTCCTGAAGCAAAAGAGAATTTCACCTTCGAGTTCAGCCTGTGCAATTCCCTGAAAGGGCTGAGCCATTCAGACAGACTCAAAGGAACTTCCATGCCAACAATCTGGTGCCTTCAGTCAGTGTGGGAAAAGGTAACAGGAACGGGAAGCTCCCAGTGGTCACAGGGCCACAAAATCACTGACTTGGCAGATGAACATCTTGATCCCTATCACAGGCCCCTGCCAATGGAATGCTTTTATCTCCCCTTATCTTCAGGCACATGTCTTCCTCTTCCTGATCTCTTTGAAAGAAAAGCCTTTTATTCTTCCCTTGCTGTTTAGTTCCCAGCACAGGTTCTGGAGCTCAGCTACAGACCCCTCAGGCTGCTGTGACCCTCAGATTTCCAGCAGCTGAGACTCCCTCAAAGGAATGGCAAGTGGAATTCACAGTCACAGCTGAGTGAGAAAAATGACCACTGTCCTTCCCCCAAAGGCTGAACTGGCATAGGTGAATTCCCTTTGAATAATAAAAATCCATCTTGATCTTTGTCACAGTTTTTACCTGCAACCCTGGGGAAGGGTCGGGGCTTAGAGTTTGGGGCTTTTTGCTTGTTTTGGAGCCTTGTGCCTGATTCAGTGTCTGTGTGGCCTGGAGTGATGTTGTGGGTTAATCCTCTTTCCAGGAGAGGCTCCCATCTGATAATGGACACTGTGTACAGGACCCACACCTTTCTGCAGGAAAACAGGACATTCCAGAGCTGTACAGTAAAGGATTTTATTTTTTTTTAAAACCCACAGGGAATTCAGTCTACTGCTAAAACCTACAGTTAGGTAAATTCAGGCTCACTCATGGAAAAAATAAAGTTGGGAGTTTTTTTTGGTTTGGGGTTTTTTGTTGGGTTTTTTTGGGGGGTTTTGGTTGGTTGGTTGGTTGGTTGGTTTTGGAGTTTTTTGGGGGGTTAGTGTTTTTTTGAGGTTTTTTGGTTGGTTTTTTTTTTTTTTTTTTTTGTTTGCTTGTTTGTTTTTGGTTTTTTGGGATTTGGTTTTTTGGGGGTTTTGGGTTGTTTTTTTGGTTGGTTTTTTTTTTGGTTTGGTTTGGTTTGGGTTTTTTTGGTTGGTTTTTTTTTTTTTTTTTTTTAATCTACAAGGTTTGGCTTTCTCAGGCCCTGCTCTGCACAGCTTTCCAGGCCTCAGTGCTGTGGGTACTGATTTTACCTCTGTATTCCAGAAAATGTGGCCAGGTAATTTCACAAGAGTCTCCAGCACTTCAGGGGAGACTGAACTTTGAGCTGAAATATGGAAGCTCAAAAAAAGCTTTTTTTTTTTTTGTTTTAAGACTTTATGTGTGTCCTTTGAGTCCTTGGTGGCAGGGGGGGAGAGCAAACTCAGCACTTTCTGAGATTTATCCTCCTCTAAGCTCTGTCAGACACAGAGTGACCTGAGATTGTCACCACTGGGATCTTCCCCTGTCCCCCTCCCAGGTGTGCTGAAGGCCTGAACCCATAAAACAGACACAGCCTTGTGCAAACAGGAGCACTACATAAAGGCATTAATTTGGAGGCACTAAAAGCCCTTTGCCCCCCGTGTCCTTGTCCCATTGCCCTGTGACAGCCCTGCCTGGTGCCTCTCAGGGCCTCCAGCGCCTGTTTTGCAGATTAGAACCTGGGACATGCACCCAGAGCCAGAGAATTGGAGAGCTCTGACTTCCCTGCTCCAGATAAGACAGTGCAGGAAACTGCAACAATCCTGTTAGGAAAACAACAGGATACAGAAGAGCAGAGCTTAAACTTGACTCCTGCCCCCTTGGGAAGCCCTCCCTGGAGGTGAGGGGAGCTGGGACAGCCCCCAAACACACGTGTGGGGCACGGAGGCACTGCTGGGGCTGTGTCAGGGCAGGAAGGGCTGAAGCTGCACTCAAACACATCTGGCTGCAGCACAGGAGCTGAGTGGAGCAGCTGCAGCTCATGGCTGCCAGAATTCACGGGGCTTGTCCCACCCTCCTCAGCAGGAGCCCGGGGGATGGAGCCATCATTTCCTAACAAATTGGTTTTCCCGTTCTCTACGTCGTTTGTTTGCCTCCTCATCTGCCCTGTACAAGAATCTTCTGAGCACCTCTTCAGCTCTCTTCCTGCTTGCCCACATCCTTCCAGCTTGCAGAAATACAATTCCCAGGATCCATCCTGTGCTTGCTCCAGGGCACCGTGCCTCCATTTTGAGAGAGGCTCCCACAAAATCCCACCGGGAGTGTCTGTGGAGGGCAGGATCTGACTGCAGGCACCAAGAGGGAGACAGACCCTGCTGGCAAACACTGCCCTCCAGCACCACATTCCTTAAACAAGACTTATTTTTTGTTCAAAGACTCGGACATCACTTTTTCCCTGAGTTCTAATTATCTCTGCTCCTGAGGGGCTGAGTTCCAGAGCCACTGGCCTGGGATGCAACTGTGAGCACTGAATCAAGGCCTCTGAAAAATCCAAATAAATCCAAAAATCTAATAAAAGCCACGGGCAGCTGACACAGCGCTGCCTGGGCCACCAAACAGGGATCAGCCACCAAACCAGCCTGGGGAAGGGAAAAAAAAAAAATCATTGGAAACCATGAACTTCTATTAATAGGAGCTCACGTTGTATTTCCCAGGAGGAAGTTGGAAAGCTGCAATCAGCAATGGCCAAATCTGTGACCTGGGCAGGAAATGCTGCAGTGTCACTGTCACAGTGTCAAGGTGGAGTCTGGGGGCACCTCACACCTGTGCCAGTGCCCTGGGGGTGTCACCCTGATTTTTTAAGATTTTCTAAGCCTTCTGATGTTCACATTCTCGTAACAAACTTTCTCCCACACACTTCCTGTAAATAACTTATTATTCTTTTATGGAGGAGAAATTTGATGGACTGTTGGTTTGTCCAGTGCCATTGCAGAGGTGGCACTGTCACCCTCCAATCCACTGTCACTTCTGGAAAACTGTAAATGTTGGAGTCAGAAAATAAACTTCCTTTTCTTCACCTTGAGAGCAGCGCTGTGTTGTTTCTGCTCTCGGGGTTTGTCGCCAAGCACCGGGCACCGGGTGGCTCCGGTACCTCCCCCTTTGCTCCTCCCGGTTCTGCCGCGTTGGAGCGCGCCGGGCTCGCCAATCACCCGGGAACGACGTGGAACGGGAATCCTTTTGTTCCTGCTCCCCGCGGCCGGAGCTGCCCGGTACCGGCAGGGGGAGCTCGGCCCCGGTACCGGCGGAGGGCGCTCGGTCCCGGTACAGGCAGGAGGAGCTCGGCTCCGGTACCGGCAGGGGGAGCTCGGCTCCGGTACTGGAGCCGAGCGGTATCAGAGAGCTCACCAATTAAATATTAAAACTTCTAAAGGATATTGAGTTTCTTTTGTGCGTTCGGCTCCGGTACCGGAAGGGGGAGCTCGGCTCCGGTACCGGCGGAGGGCGCTCGGTACCGGCAGGGGGAGCTCGGTGCCGGTACCGGCAGGGGGAGCTCGGCTCGGTACCGGAAGGGGGAGCTCGGCTCCGGTACCGGCGGAGGGCGCTCGGTACCGGCAGGGGGAGCTCGGTGCCGGTACCGGCAGGGGGAGCTCGGCTCGGTACCGGCAGGGGGAGCTTGGCTCGGTACCGGCAGGGGGAGCTCGGTGCCGGTACCGGCAGGGGGAGCTCGGTGCCGGTATCGGCAGGGGAAGCTCGGTCCCGGCAGGGGGAGCTCGGTGCCGGTACCGGCAGGGGGAGTTCGGCTCCGGTACCGGCAGGGGGAGCTCGGTACCGGCAGGGGGAGCTCGGTCCCGGTACCGGCAGGGGGCGCTCAGCCCCCGGTGCTCGCCCCGGCCCCGCCGGGAGCGGCAGCCCCGCAGCACCGGTGGGCAGGGCCGGGAGGAGCGAGTCCCCGGGCCGGGCTCGGTCCGTGCTGCTCCACCGGGACCAAAAGCCAAAGCGAACAGCCGGGACTGAGAGGGGAGGGCGCAAATGGTGTTTTATTTAATTCTCAGGAAGTTTATTGCGGTTTTTTACATTTCTGAGCAGCCTTTTAAAGTTTAACTAAAAATCATCGTGTGACACAAGGTGCTTCGTCAACCATCTGCTAAACTGAACTGAACCAATCCGATCCAAGCCAAACCCACAGAGCACTGCTGGGAACAGGACACAGCAGCCAGAGTTTCACCCCAGTTTTGGGGCTGGCACCAGACCCTGTCCCCTGCTGTCCCACCTGCCCACAGAGCAGAGCTCACGTTCCCCCAGCACGCTCTGGCTGGAGTGTGGCAGCAATTTGTTATTAAATAGTATTTGTGGTCGATCTGTGACTTGTAATTAGATGTAATTGCTCACAATGGGACATGGTAACCTACTTCTTTTGCAATACAAACCATCTTTAGTGACTGACACCTCAGCTCCTTCCTACCCCTGTCTAAAGCCTCTGAAATTGAGGTGACTCAGCCTGGGGTGCAGGACTCATCTCACCAGCACCAGGCAAACACTCACGTTCGCTTCTGCACCCCAGGTGTTTCCAGAGGTTTGCTGGGATGTGATGGGAAATGGCTCCTGGAGGCAGGAAAAAACACTGCTGGTAACAGTGCTGGTAACAAAGTACCTTGCAGGGAGGGGAAGCTCCCCGGCTGTGGGATGGCTCCTTCCAGTCCCTGCTGGATCTCTGCCACCATGGGGAGCACAAAAGGAGCCCCAGGTTCAACATCCCCCTGAGGAGCACGCCAGGGTTTTGGCCACAGGCTCCCTGGTGATGCCATCAGTGAGACTTAGAGGCTCCCACCTTTGGAGCCTTGGCTCCTGCTCAATTTGCTACTCTGCCCTCGTTTTGCCGTGCCCCTGCCTCCCTTACCTGCTCCAAGGTCAGGCAGGCAGCCTCCCACAGAGCAGAGCACTGCCCAAGGACAGGATCCCATCCAGGGCACAGGGCGGCCTAGGAGAGAGGGGAGACAGGTGTTTGTTAGGAAAGGGAACTCAGAGCCAGCTGCCAGTCCCTGGGGTGGGATGGAAGCTGTGAGCAAAGCTCTCTGTCCTGAGAGCCCTTGGCTTGGTTGGGCTCTGAGTGGCCACCTGGACCAGCAGGGTCTGGAGATTGCTGTCCCCCACTCCCTGAGAGCCTTAGAGATAAATACCCCACAGCTGGATGATCCTTTGGACAAGAAACACACACTTGGCCTTGGATCCAGGAGAGCTGCAGCTGTAACACCCTGCCCAGAGCATGAGGAGGAGCAAACCAAGCAACTCCACTCAACAGATTCCACAGAAACCAGAACCAAGGGGTGGTTTGGATCTGGAGTTCTCAGCTGAAAGTGTCCCTGAGGGAAGGATTCTGAGAACTCACTTCCACCTGCTGCAGAAGGAACCTGTCATCTTGCACTGTGGAACAAAGTAATTTCTCAATAAATAAAGTATTGTCATGTATTTTTTTGAGCCCTGACCTTCAAGTAAGAAAATGTAGCTGAACTGCAATACTACAACTACAAATGTAACCCCTCAGGAGGGAACTTAGCTCCACAGGGAGAGTGAGTGAGCTCACGGAAACGCTCCCCTGGCTGAAGGTGCAGGTAGTGCCTGCACAGGAGGCAGCCAGGAGTGACACATCCCAAACTTCCAGACCTGCTGCCAGGCACTGGGAGCCTCTTTTGGGCTGTGGTGATGCTGGTTTTACAAAGCCAGGAATTCGGTGCTGTGGTGCACACAGAACTGATGGCTGTGCCCACAAGGAGCCCTGTGCCTGTGTTTTGGGGATGCTGGGGCCCCATGAGACAGCTTTGCACAGGCTCCTGTCATTGTCACTGCCTTGGTATCAGAGAGCTCACCAATTAAATATTAACACTTCTAAAGGATATTGAGTTTCTTTTGTTCCTTTGGCATGGCCAGTGTTCTCAGTTCTCCCTGACTTCCCATGCTGCATCTTCCTGCCTTCATGTTCTTTTAATGCTTTATTTCATACTCCAGCAGGCTTCCTTCACCTCCTGTCTGTCACAGGGAGCATTTGCTGTACAATGCAGTCCAGGAGACAGCATTTAGGGAGCAGGCTGCTCACCCAGACCCCAGACCACAATCAAACCCCCAATTCCATGGTTCTGCACACAGGCTGTTGTGTCCCTTCATACACTTCCACCCAGTTTGATCCAGAGTGCTTTGGCTTTGAGTCTGCAATCACAAAGTGAGATTCCTGAACACTTTCACCATCTGAAGCATGAGCAAACCTTCACACCATGAAAGCAAAAGCCCTTTAACCATAGAGCAAGGCTTCCCTGAGCTGTTCCAGTGCACAACATCCTTTGGGAACATACGGGCCAGCAACCACACGAGATGCCCACAGCATAACTACAGTACTGACAAACCAATTGAGCCTCAGCAGCTGCCTCTGGGAAGGTTTCATTCATGCCCAGCACTGCCTTTTAAACTTGAGTGCCACTGGAACAAACACATCTTTGATCCAAGTAGGAAATAATTTGAAGCTTTGTGTTTAATAGAGCTGCAGCCCTGGGGAAATGATGTCGATCTTGGCTGGGATGACAATGGGGCTCATGGCAGGCACAGAGCATGGCTGTCCCCATCCTCTCTGGGCACAGAGCGTGGCTGTCCCCATCCTCTCTGGGCACAGAGCGTGGCTGTCCCCATCCTCTCTGGGCACAGAGCGTGGCTGTCCCCACCCTCTCTGAGCCAGCTGTGTTTGGACATCTTTGTTCTTGACTCAGTGTGGAAACAAGCTGCACGGCCGAGGCTCCTGAACTGCCATGTGTGGCACCAAAAGACAGATTTGGGGAAAGGGGGAGCAGGATCTGGGCAATCCCTCCTGTCCTCTTGTTCCTTCTGTCTTTGGAGTCTCTCATGTCCCACTCAGCTCCAGGGGAACCACACGCAGCACAGATTATAGGGGGTGCAAACACAAACATGGAGGAGCACACGGGCAGTACTGGGCTGTACACACCTGTGTGATCTGCCTGCCCTGGGGACACACACACCTCCTTTTATACTGTGGACACCTCTTCAAATGTTGCTGCCATTTCTACCTGTAAAATCCTGTGTTCAGAGCAGGGAGCGAGCAGCAGGCAGGCTCCACACCCCAGGGACCATCCCTGGATGCTCTGCAGGTGCCTCTCTGTCAGGGCCCTTTTTCATTTAAATGACCCCTGCTCAGACTGGGACATTCTCCTGTCTGGAATCATCTGGCATCTGTATCCATTTGAATGGCAGATGCAACAGGAGACACCTGTGGACAGAGGGGCAGAGCTAAGGTTTCAGGAACAATCACAGGTGAGGGATGGAGAGGCTGCAGCAATAATGCATGAGCTGCACCTGCCTCCCCTCACTGCTGGGAGAACCAGTACAGCACTGCTAAACTGGGAACACCAGGCTATGGTGGGCTGGGACAGAAGCAGATCTGGGGGGATGAGTCCTCTCAAAGTCCTGCAGAGCCCCCCATGCTGCAACTCTGGAAATTATTGCTGAGCCCCCTCAAGAAGCTGATCAGGAAATTGGCATTATCCTTCAGAGGGTCACAAAATCAAATTGTTACAAGGAAGGGAAGGAGCTTCTCAGGCCATTGCTGGGCACAGGGAAGCAACAGGATGGCACTTATCTGTCCCTGCAAACAAAGAAGAAGGAAATGCAGAGCTGGAGCCATGGACAGACAAGCATTTACTTCCCTGCCCTGGGATAGAGGGAGATGTGCTTGGAAGAAGGGTTGTTTGTATAAATAAATGTTCATTCTTGGCAGTGGAATGCAAACTATGCTGAGGGGCTGGAACCAGGCACTCGGGAAAGCTGAGGCCAGAGCAAGGGAGAGACGGAGTGAGGCTGCAGGGAGGAAATTCACATTCATTTTTAGCAACTTGGAGAGGCTCTCGAGCCTGTTTGACATTTTTAATTATGCTGATGCAGAGCCTATTTCAAGGACAAAAAAAAGTCAGGATTGCAGGTTAAACAATTAGGAAATTTCACACCAAACAGTGAGAAGCAGTGCTGCCTGGGGGTCTGGAGACTCTCTGAAACACGGGATCATCTTTCAGCCTTTCTAGACAGACGGAATTTGAATGTCTTGCAGAATCCTCGCCCAGGTCAGGAACTCAGAGCATGGCCCTGTAAACCTCTCCTGATGGTATTTTCTGAGAGCACACAGGAGGCAGGAAAGATGAGCCTGAGCTGCTGCTTTCTTTGTCCAGGCATTCCTGCAAGGTTTCTGGAAGGGCAGAAAATCATCCTGCAATGTGGCATCAACTGTGTCAGAGTCTGTAAGTTCACAGTGGGAAACGCTGCAATTTCTGGTGCAGAGTGAGCTCAGCTCGATGGTTTCACATCACCGAGTCAGGGCTTGCTTTCCATGCTCAGAAAATGACCTTTTGTCATGCAACCATCCTGACCTCAGGGTCTCAGTTTCCCTGTGTGTTCATAGAAAAGAGCTTTACCTGCTTGCTCACCCACTGTTCTCTCTGAAAAACGTGTAAGGACCTTTCCCTGCATTTCAGTTTGGGTGTCAGGGGCCACAGCTGTGGCACTGAAGGGCAGGAGTTGCCTCTTTTGCTGAGCAGAGATGTCAGCTCCCCTTCTCCGAGTCCTGGCACTGTACTGGGGACAGAGGAATGGAATTGGAACCTTTGCCTTCTCCTTGAGATAATGGAAAGTCACAGGGAGGTATCCAGCTTTGGGCATGAATAAATCATTGCAGGTATGAATTATTCAGGGCTCAGCCCTCCACATGTGCTCCATTCAGACTCCAGGGCAGCATCCCTGCTGTGTGGGGGTTTCTTCCCCAACACTCCACGTCTAAGGCAAGCTGATGAGTCCAGGTTTTCCAATATGATTAAAAGAATAATTAAAAATCCAGCAGGAAAAAGCTGCTCAAAAGTGCTGTGACAGCTCAGGTTGACATTCCAATGGCCAGGCAATGCCTGAGCTCCAAGAGCTGTCCACAAGTTACTCACAGGATGGGATGGGGATAAGAAGTGGCTCAGGAAATTGGGAGCACAGGTTGGAGGGGAGAAGTGGAATGATGGGCACAGAATCAATACAGGAACCAACACAACCTTCTGATAGCTTGTGTCTAACACAAAAACACAGGTTTTATCTGGATTTCTCAAATGACAATAAGCAAATTTAGGGAATAAATCAAAATCTCTGGCTTTGATCTGTGTTGTGAGATCAAGGACTTTGCCTTGTGGCGCTTTTTAAAAATCTTGTTTATTATGAGCTGAAATGGGTTGAATGAAGAGAAAATCTGGTTTGCAGTAACTGGAAGGATGGCAATGTTAAGAGTGATGAATTTAATGTCAGAGTCCAAATCATGGACCCTGGGGCCCAGGAGAGGAGGGGCTGCCATGAGCCCCAGGTGCTGCCAGGTGATGTCTGGGCAAGAGAAGGGGTTATAATCAGACCA